GTACTGTTTACTCCACAACATCCCCCACCTCACTTTCGAGATTAATACTTTTTATAAATGTTTTATTTTTTATTAGTATTAGTATCTCCCCCCTTCTCTTTCTGATGAGTTTGCCGGCATACTCGACTTTGTAGCCTTTCTGCCTGGGATCCACTTCCAGTTCTTCACCATGCTTTCTTTTTCTAGAACTTGTCCTTATAGGTTCCACAACTTGTTGTTGTGCTGACACATCAAAAACATCATATAGCATTTTTATTGGTTCTTCCAATGTTTCAGGTCTTTCATCGATGAACATTTTTTCAACTGATTATGGTGCCTTTTATGTTCAAATCTTTTCCCTTTTACCATGTAACTCAACTTCCTGATTCTTGCAGATATTATGCCATCTTTCCATGTTTCTTTCCCATCATTATATGCTCTAGAGAAAGCTTTATTGCTGACCTTGAAACCATTGGTGTCATTTTTGTTATGTGTTCATGTTTTCCGACTTGGTAATAACTTGTCAAATACCAATTCTACTTCTCTAGCAAACATTAAAACCACCAGCAACATACCTGATGGTGTATTGGGATTTGGTGTTACATGGTAAACTCTCAGAAAATTTTGAAGTGCTTCCTCATTTTCTCAAGACTCGCTTTATTCAACACTTTTTTGAACATTCCCAGAAATTGTTTCACATGTCTGCTCGACCTTGGGTAATACAGTGGTGTCATAATATGCTCAATGGAGAATATCTTACAAAAATCTTTGAATTCTTTACCATTCTTTGAATTGCGTTCCATTATCAGAGACTATGGTATTTGTTATGCCATATCTCTCAAGCAGTTCATGCAAGAAATTCACTGTCACTGAAGATGTTGGAATTTTGCACTTATAAATTTTCAGCCATTTAGTAAAACTATCAACAACCACAAGATAATGTGATCCATTCATAGGACCTGCAAAATCTGTATGCAATTTTAACCACGGTGTGTCTGTCTTTGGCCAAGGTTCTATCTTTGTGATAAGTAGTTTTGCTGCCAGAGCACAATCTTTGCAAGCTTTCTCTATTTTTCAATACCTTGGTCCATTTTGTTCCAATATACAAAACTCCTCATCAGGTATTTCATTCTTAAAATACCAGGGTGTCGTCTATGAGAATCCTTCAATATCTACTTCTGTAGCACACTAGGTATTATAACTCTTTGCTTGAACATTATTACACCGTTGCATAGCGAGTAAGCGTTCAAGTCAGGATTTCATTCTTTTTTACTTTTTTCAATTGCTTTTTTATTTTTGCAATAAGGACATCATTTTCCACTTTTTTCTTTTGTTTCTTCCAGGGTAACTGGTAACTCTCATACTATGTTGCACAAAATGTTTCTTTCCATTTTGTTTTTTAGTGCTGCAATGACAGTGCCCTCAAATGGTTATGCATTTTTAGGTATTAAGCTTGATAATCCATCCGCATGTCCTAATTTTTTAGACATTTGGTACTCCATCATAAAATCATAGTTTAATAAGATGGTACCCCAGCATTGTGGTCTATCAGCTGTATGTATAGGTATTTCTTTTTTTGAACCATCTAATGTTAATAGATGTCTGTGGTCTGTTTGCAACCTAAATTTTCTTCCATGAATAAATTTATGAAATTTCTTCACAGAAAATATAATTGCTGGAGCCTCTTTTTCTATCTGACTAATTTTTCTCTGCTGGTAGAAGTAAGCATAGGCTTTCATTTTACTGTCATCGTATTTGTGTAAAATCACCGCTCCAATACTCACTAGCATCTGGCACCACTGCAATTTCTGTTTTGGGATCGTAGTGCACTAATGATAAATCTGATATGAGTCTTTTTTTTTTCTTTATTTTGTCATATTGTTCTTTAGATACACTTTTGATTAAAGTGTCATTCAGATATGCCACTGCAAAATCACAACCTGCAAGCATATCTGTGGCTTGTTGTAAAATAGCTGGTACCACCTTTATGCCAAAAGGAAGTTTGTTAAACTTACATAATCCTCTGTGCATATTTATGTTCATTAATTCTGAACATTCATTTTCAATCTGAATTTGTAAATAACACTTCAGAGAGATTCAGCTTTGAATATATTCTTCTGTCATTTAGCTTCAAAAAATTTTCCTCTGGACTTGCTAATGGGTAGTTATGTGTTTTTAAACAACTGTTCAATCCTGTCATGAAATCTGCACAAACACAAATTTTATTCTACATAAACTGCTGGTGCAGCTCACTTTAAATGGTTAATTTTTTCTATTGCCCCAATTCTTTCAAGTCTGCCCAACTCTTTGTTGACTTGTTCCAATGCTGTGAATGGTATACTCCATTTTGGCTTAAATACTGGTGTTGAACCGTTTTAACTTGAAAATCAACCTTAAATTTTGAACACCGACCCAGTTCATTTGACAGAATAATTGGAAAGCCTTTTTTAATTCTTCCTTGAGATTTTCACTCTGACTTTAAATTGAGCACTTGTCCACTTACATTTTTACAATAAATGTATGACAGCAAATCCTAAAGTTCAAATAGTTCCATTCATAGCATTTTTTAATACATAAGCTTTAGTTTATTATATACTTATTATGAAATGTGACATTACAAGTCATTATCTGAAAAAAATTTTTTAAAATTAATTAGTCTGAAGACTGACTCCAAATAACTTCTTTCCTTCTTACCTGGAGCTCTTTATTTATATTTATGGACTAGTTCATATAGTTACCAGGGAGTGTAGTATTTTCTCCACAACATTTATCTATCTTCTGCTGGTTGATATTGGGAACCAGGTAAAATGCCTGGATTTCAAGCCAGGTTGGCTCCAATGGCACTTAGAGGATCCTCTTACTGAGACTGACACCATCTTCTGACTCCAGAACAATTCCACTATTGGCTATGTTCCACACTAAACTCAGCTTAGTCAGTATCTGTAACTTGTATGTGTACTTTTTGTTCATCCCACTTTACTGAAAAAAAATTACAAAGGTATATTTAAAATAATTCAGAAATGGAAGTGTACCAAATATATTGGGCAACTGAAAAAAAAAAAAAAAAATTGACAAGTTTTGTAACTGGAGTTGTGGGTGGGTGTATATGTTGAATACTTGAATTTTTGGCTTCAGTAAAGGAAAAATAAAATAACTAAAATTCCAGACTCCCACTTCATTGTAATTCTTCACCGTCATTATTCTCAGTTTGAAAGGTTATTTAAGAATTTTTAAATAAATTAAAAAATATATACATATTAAACTTAAAATCTGGCTATAGCAGATTTATTTTAAGAAAACTGATCTTGAAAAATTTAACACCAAACTCCTTTTTTTTTTTTTTTTTTTTTTTTTTTTTTTTTTTTTAAACTTTAGGTCTTGGGTAAGATGGTAAACTACATCTGACAGCAAGGCATTTGATCAGGAGGTTTTGAGGAGCATGGAACTACCTCTTAATTGCTGGTGTTCCCAGGTTCACCCTGATCCAGGGTGGTGGCAACACCTTTCAAGATTCCAGCTATGGGCAAATAGTTACCCAAACCTCCTACAAAAGGAGTCAAAACACTATGAAAATATAAAAATAGGATTTATTACTAGCAATACATTTTAGGAAAAAAAAAATTTTTTTCCTAAGATGTATTGCTGGTAATAAAACCTATAAAATAAAAATTTTGCTGGCATTACATAACCCATTGAGGTTCGTATGCCGTAAAATCAATCAAACCAAAAAAACTTTAGTTTGCAAGGTAACTTGTCTCTTTGCTAGAATTTATGACCTTGAGAAAAAGCAACATATTTTCCACTTGTTAAAGATATAAGCATTCTTTTTGTGAGTTGATAACAAACAGGTGAAAGTCCATCAATAAAGTTTGACAAATAGGCCTGAAAAAAAAAAATTACAGAAATGAACTGGTAAAATTTAACAAACCAAATGTCCAGAAAAAAATGTTTTTTCTCTTGACACTACAATCACTGCATACTCTCTCAGTAATTTTTATTATATTACATTTTAATAAGACCCAAACATATAAAACTAGACATATACATTTAAATTTTCTTGTTCTATTGTTCAGACATTTTTATAAATTTTTTTTATTAAAAAATTTGTTTTCATATTTATTACTTTGTAATATGGTAAATAATTATTGCATTGCAGTTTGCATATTTTTATAATCTTGTAAATATAAAAGTATTCTTGTCCAATATAGAGTATTTAACATTTTTCTTGTCAATACTTGAGAAAATAAATGCATAAATCCAGTTTCATATGTTTGGGTTTTTATTAAAATTCTAAATATAACTTTGTAAAAAATAAAATTATCAAAGGTAAAAGCTTTGTAAAGAGAAAAATTGTCCTTTTTTGATAAAAAACATTTTTTTTTTGCTTTAAAATGGTTCATAAAATTGTTTCATTTGATACAAGTGAACATATAATCTCTGCCTTTTTTTTTTATTGTCCCTCATATCTTTTGAATTGTTTAGAGTTTCTCAAATTTTGGTTTTAATAGAGGAATTCTCAGATTCATTTTTCCTTCTGACCACTGAGAGATAATAAATTTATGCATTGTTGCAAAAAGGAAAAATAAAGCTATCTTCATCTATTGTAGCAGGTGAACAAAATCATTCTAATAATGGCACATGTCTCTATAAAATATTAATTGCTTGCAGTTGCTGTGGGAATGATAGATTTAAACATTCTCTCCCTTTTTTTTTTCTTTTTCTTTTTTTTTTTTTTTTCTTTTTTTTTTTTTTCTCTTCTTTTTTCTTTTCTCTTTTTTTTTTTTTTTTCTTTTTTTTTTTTCTTTCTCTCTTTTTTTTTTTTTTTTCTTTTTTCAATTCTTTTTTTCTTGAAAATTACAAACTCAATTCTGAAAAAGCTTTTTCTCTCTCTCTTTTTTTTTTTTTTTTTTTTTTTTTTTTGCACCCACCTCAAATACATTTAGAGTAGGTGATTCAGATTCTGTTGTCCTTTTTTTGATTTTTTTTCTGAAAATAAACTGTTTATTTTAAATTTCTTTCAGACTTGCCGTTAAAAGCCTGATTGACATGGCCTCCTTGGATATTATTGATGATGACTGTGAAGAGCTGATTAACCTCTTGGCTATCCTGGAACAAATATTGATGCACAGATTGAGGCGTAAGTAACCTGGCAACTTTTCTGCTCCTCCACTCTTTGCTCTCCACTAGCAACTTTTCAGCCTTCTCTCTCTGTTTCCCTGGCAACTTTTCTGTTCCTCCCACTGTTTCATCCTCCCCACTTTTCCCTGACATTCTCCTGGAAATCTTTTCTGTTTCCCTCTTTTTCTGGCAACCTTTTTTATGTCTCTCCCCTTTCCCCTGGCAATCTCTCCTGCTTTCCTACCTCACCCAGCAACCTTGTCCAATTCCCACGCTACCCACTCTGTTCGAGCAACCTTTCTGCTACCCCTTCTCAGGCATCATTTCTCTTTGTTTTTATCTGAATATCTCACTTTTCAGGAGGAGCGTTTTTTAGTCTTGCCTTCCATTCTTAACCAATTGCTCAAATACATTAAGTTGGCCAGCAAATTAATATAAGATTCTGTTATAGCTTTATTAATGACAAGGCTAATGATGTGCTTTTTAGCAAAGCTAAATTTCCAAACTGATTAACAAATGAAGTCTATGAAATATTAATTCATCTTGGGTGTGATTTTTGTCAATAAGAATCCGTTTCTCTCTCTATTTTATAGAATATGAAGTATATAGAAAACTTTTGCAGTTTGTGATAGAGAAAGGAAATGTATAATTGTTGATAACTTATGTCCTAGAGAAATGCCATTATCTCTGTTCATAAGGAAAGTTTCTTATCTTTTATTTACTACATTAATTAGCTGATATGAAATTACACTTTAAGCTGTTGTTTTTTATTATCACCTGATGACAATAAAGCTTAGAACAATGAAATAGCAGTATTAGTTGGCATACCTATTAACCTAACAAGTTTATTATTCACTTTTCCTGTATTATTGAAATATATTAAAAAAAAACATGGGTTTGCTGAAATTTCTTGGTTTTAAAAGGGATTAACAAAAAAGCCTGGTATTTGTTCAGATTTAGGAAGTTGGTCTGTTCAAAAACTTTTCAGCATCTCTCTCCAGCTTGTGTGTGTATCAAACAATAGTTATGGTGGATGGCAAACCAGAAAAAGTTTATGTAGGTGCCACTGAACATTCACGGAAAGAAAGGTTTTATAACTGCAAAACATTGTTTAATAATAGTATGAAAGTGGTACAACACTGAATAAACATATATGGGTACAGGACAAAACTGAAAATTCTCCAGTAGTTGAATGGAAAATTTATAAAAATAACACAGCTCCTAAAACAACATCTAAATCATATAGTCTTGGCTTGCAGGAATAATTTTGAATCCTAACATTTCCAGAGAAAAAAAGCCTCGTCAACAAGACATGCCTACACTTGTTAACAAGCTCTAGAGCTTTTGAACAGCCTGTTAGCCTCTGAGTGAGATGGAAAAATAAATAAATAAAATGTGTCTGTAGAGATTTCATTTTCATCAATGAATATTTGTGTGATTTTGTTTTTGTATCTTGGGCTGTTCGTCATGTGAGGGGGGGGTCATAGTCGCCACCTGCATGTATAAAATAGGCGATAACAATGGAAGTGATCAATTTTAAGTGTCTGAATAGTTTATCACTGTGAAACTTAGTTACATAGATGCTTGTGAAGAAGATCCCAAAATACTGATATATATTTCAAGGTATCCTATATTTACTGATAAAAGTGCTCAATATCAGGAATAGAGCATATGTAAACATAAAAATGTACACTGAGCAGCAATGGTTTTTCATAATTGAATACAAACTTCAGGTCCTGAAGATTTTTTTTATATATGCTCAGTTGTATGGATATGAGTTTGTGACCTTGGGTTTCATGCTTTTGCAATCATCAAGCTGGTTTATTTTTTAAAATTGGATCTATTTATACTTGTTTGACTATGTTTGGTGATGCAAGGCAGGAATCTACTTCTGTGTTTGTTTGGGTGACACTCTCATATGCATAGACACACATACATACAGGTGTATGCATTTTAGTTCTATTTCATTGTCGAGACCTTAGCTTTTATATATGTGTAGCAATGTTCCTTTCAACAAGGAATGGATAGGGGTGTTTGTGATGCTTTTTAGATCTACTACCTGTGCCATCAGAGAAGGTAAGTAAGAGTGTAAGTTTCTCTGACGGCACAGGCGGTAGATCTGAAAAGTGTCAAGAACACCCCTACCTATTCCTTGTTGAAAGGAACATCACTACACTTATATAAAAGCTAAAGTCTTGACACTGAGATAGAATTACAACTGCATATGTATGTATGTCCGAATGCATGTGTATGTATCTGCATCTGGTCACGGATTGTTCATATGGATGTGTTTGTGCAAACTAAAATGCATACAACTGTTTGTATGTGTGTCTATGCATATGAGAGTGTCACCCCAAACAAACACAGAAGTAGATTCCCCTTCCTGCCACCAAACATAGTCAAACAAGCATGAATAGATCCAATTTTAAAAAATAAACCAGTTTACCTGATGATCGCAAAAGCATGAAGCCCAGGGTCGCAAACTCTTATACATACAACTGAAAATGTTAACTTTATCACTGATATTGAGCGCTTTCCACTAAGTACAGCTCATATATATATATATATATATATATATATATATATATATATATATATATATATATATGTTGATTTGGGTTAGAGACAAACGCCAAAAAAACACGTAACAATAAAAAGGATTTTAATAGGTTGGTAAAAAGGTACAGAAATCGCCTGAGTAGTCAATAACTAGCTCAGCTAAGAACTTCTCTCTCTATCTGTCTTCCCCATGTCAACTGACCTGCCACTATTTAAAGTCTTTGTTCACAGACGCAGACAAGTTCATCTTCAAGAGGGGTGGTAGGTTTCCGGCACAACAATATATATATATATATATATATATATATATGAGACACACACACACATAATGTGTGCTAACTTGCCATTTTCAATACTGAATATCAGTTACCATTTTTACACTATCTGTAAATCTAATGAAAGTAGATACTTTTTTTATTAATTACCAACCAAATGGTATGTAAAATGGTGTGTTAAGTGCAACTTGCACTGCAAAATAAAGGTATAAGTAATATGGTTCTACAAATGCCATAGACAGAACATTGTGGTTCTCAAAAAAAAATAAAATAAAAAAAAACTTAAAAATTAAATTTTAAAATTAGAATGACATTTGAAATTTCTGAGACACACACTGTGGAAAAAAGGACTTTGAAAAAATTGAATGCTCATGAGACATAGTAAAGGCAATTGGTCCTAGGTGAACAGTAATAACCTACCTTATGAGTTTGCATAAATGGAGGGTGGAGTAGGAACGAAGAGGTCTGCTATATTCAAATGCTGCTTAGAGTGACAAGAGATGGGCAGTTGTGTCAAGTCATGATTGCTCACATCCTGAAAGGACAAGGTATATAAAAAGGTATTGAAATTTAAATTGTATTTTTGATTTGTCTCCCTTGAATCTCACATTTCTATATACCTCAAGGGAGGTAATTATTGCTTTTTTTTTTCTCTTGTTCACTAGTGTTCACTAAATACGAGAATAAATGTAGAAAGTGAGGATCATGTGGATATGGCAGATAGTTAACGATTGACTCTTGATGGCTTTGTTTTTTTCTTTTTCAGCGGTACATCAACCTCCTTAGGTCGTCTTAGTGCCGAGTCCTTTATTAAATATACTTAGGATTTCTATGAAAGTTTGTAGTTAAATTCTTGAGATAACTTTTTTTGGTTAAAAAGGTTCTAAAGAAAAATTTGTTGACACTTGACTTGAAGAGATAAAGGTTGTAGTGTTCAGGAATGCATCCACATGGGGCTCTCTTCCACAAAATAGCAGTTCTTGGTGGGAGGGGCAGATGTTTGACTGAAACTTCCTTATAATTGAAATATAGAGAGAGTGGGAATGGTTCAACTCTGTAGGTGTAGCATGCCAGTCTTAACTATAAAGGTACAAATTTGTGGAACTAAAGAATGGAGTCTGTCCTAACATTTGCCATGGAGATAGTGATGAAGTAGCAACAAGCTAGCAATATTATGGGTTAAATAGCAAGGTACACTGAGCACTCCAGATTTTGGTGGCAGACAGTCTAGGAAAAGGAAAATAGTGTTCAGAACTGGAGAAATAAATGGCTGCCCACTCCACTATCTTTTCCAAGAAGTCATGTCAATTCCAAGAAAATAAAGCAAAGGTATCTGTGGAGAGCCATGATCACTCTACATCTTGAAGAAAGAAAGACAAGGCTGAAGTGAAATCTGTGGAGAAAGCAAAGGGAAACCACTCTGCTATCTTTCTGAGAAGTTATGGCAATTCCCAGATAATAAAGAGAAGGAATCTGTGGCGGGCCAAGATTACCTCCATCTTGAAGGGACTTGGTATTTCGATAAAAAAAAAGTGTAATAAAATTCTTGCTTGTTATTCAGAAACTTAGTAATTGAAATAATTTTAGAATTATGAGTTTTATATTATAGAAAATACATAATCAAAATATACAAAAGCTGTGTTAATCCTCCATTATTACTGTGGATTTTCAAACCTTCTATTTAAAATATTGAAGATACAAGAGTCGGCTGGAAAGATATATATATATATATATGAAAGTAGACATCACAATTGGTAGACTAAAAGCCATACAAGTGTACCAAAATACCACAGCTGGTTTAGCTCTTAATTTTATTGTTATATATATATATTGTCTTGAGTGCACTTTATGATTTTTATAGGATGAATGAAAATGAAATAACAAAAGGTCTTATTTTTAAAATCAAATTAAAATACCAATATTAAAAAATATATTTGCAAGTTTAAAAAAAGAAAAGTAGCTTTTATTTTGTTTTCAGTAAACAAATAACACTGCTTGTTATTCACACAAATATTATGACTAAAACTGGAAACTCTTTGTAGTTACTTGACACAGGAATTCAGAAAGCAACTTGACTAATGAAAAATTTTACTTGCCACTTGCAAAATATTTACATCTTTCCTCAGAAATATTTTCTGAAGTCTTTTTTTTCCTCTATATTGAACAAATAACTCCGCTTGTAATTCACAGAAATATTACAACAAATAACCAGAAACTCCTAGTAGTTACTTGACGGGGGTATTCAGAAAGTTACTTGGTTCTTCATGAAAATTTGACTTACCAGTTGCTAAATATTTAGATCTTTCCTTAGTCATGTGTCCTGGGGTCATCTTTTCAAAAGATCCTCTCTCATGTACAATTCATGCAAATATTATGACTAAACCCAGAAACTCTTTGTAGTTAATTGACTGAAGTATTCAGAAAGTTACTTAACTAATCATGAAAATTTGACTTGCCACTCGTTAAATATTAAGTAAGAACACTTTGTGGAGTTTTTCAAACACTCCATGATACTAACAGAGGGTTAATAATGTCCCTTTGAACAAATTAACCTTCTTGACCATGCCTTTTTATGGTAACATTAACTTGTTAGTCAGGTAACAGTTGGTAAAACTACATGTCTTTAACTTTTTTTTTTTTTTTTTTTTTTTTTTTTAAACTCCTGTTCAGTATAAAATAAAAAGATTTTGTTCAATATTACAGCTCACAAAACCTGGTATGGTAGTGAAGGCACTCGTCCATTTTGGGACTATATTCGCGTGGCATGTCAAGGTGTCCCTCACAACTGTATTGACAGCATCAGTGCTATTGAGAATATACGTTCTCCTCATGCAAAGGTAAGGCATTTACAAATTTTGCATCTTATTTACATACTGAGATCATCTTCTATTTTTCATTTATTTTCTTTTTGCTTAGCAACAGTGGTTAATACAACACAGAAAATTGTGTATATATTTATAATTTAAAAAAAAAAAACTCAAAACATTGATATGGAAATATTTATAGATAAATATCAGCTACTCCAAGTATTTTTTTTCTGTTTGTTAAAATTGTTATTTTTACTAAACACCTGTTAATATTACATGTGCTGATTTTTAATTTTACTTATCATTTACAGGGTCAGGCATGGTTGAGGGTTGTGTTAATGGAAAAAAGACTATCAGAATATTTGTCAGAGGCTCTCAAGCAAACCAGAATAACAAAGTAAGCTAGACATAATTAAATCTGTTATTGTAGCAATAAATTGTGTTGTTCTTTATCTTAAAAGACTGTTATTTTCGGCGAGAAAAGCTCTTTTGCATAAGTAATACTGGATTACTTCCCTTACATTTCTCGACTTCATGGCTTTTTCTCAGTGGTTCGTTTGTCAGAAATAAAACGAAAAGAGTCAATAAAAAAAGAAACCAGAAAGACAAAAATAAAATAAAATAAGGACCAAAAAAGATATAAAAAGACAAAAAATATGATAATGACAAAAAAGATATTAAGAAAACAAAAAAAAAAAAACGAAATTAATTTGAGACACTGTCTAAAATTAATTTCTTTCCTTTTTATTTTTAGTCTATTTTTCATATTTTTTTTATACCTTTTTTTTTTCTTTATTTTTTTTTTTCATTTTTTTTTTTTTTTTTTCATTCATTTTTTTTATCTTTCTGGGTTTCTTTTTTTTCCTAATTTTTTGTCATATCTTGTTCAGTTCTCTCTTTCTTTTTAACATGTTTAAGTAGACATGCTGTTTTCTTTAAATTTATTTTAAACAGTTAATTATGTCTACCATGTACTTTCAAGAGATTTAATAAAGAAAAGGTACCCTCTGACAGGATTCAAACCTGCAACCCCATTTGAAGAGTGAAGTGGGGAAACCATCTGATCTGTCCGGCTTTAGACTCCCAAATGCACAGGCCAGGCTTAATTCACACTATTTAAAATAAACATAAAAAAAACGTAATGTCTACTCAAATACATCTATCTACAAAAATAACATTTCAAGAATAATATTTGATTAAAAATAAAATCCATAGCAGTGGTCTCCAAACTTTTCACTACAAAAGCTGTATTGGATATTTTAGAAATTTATCAGTTTTATAAATGAGTGAATAGAATTTAAATGAATCCGGGATTGTTTTCATAATCTGCATTAGAACAAAATAGTATTTTGATAATTACAAAAACTATACACAGAGAAATTTTATGTACAGTTTTTGAAAACTCAGCTCGATCTAGAGGCCTTTTGAAAAAGAAAATCTAATTTTTGGGAAGTTAGAAATTTTTCAGCATCCCTTTTATAGTGAATGAAAATGTCAAATATAAGAAAATACCCTAACCAAAAAAATAACTGGCAGTTACTAACAGCAGATAAGAAAACTGGACTCTGTTTTACGCTCTATCAAGTTGCTGTAGGTCAAAGTTTTTATGGTGGATTGAAGTTTGGAGGCCTCTGTTTTATAGTGACCAAAGGAAACTAGTAAAACTTTTGATTTTTCTTTTCATTTTTTGATTCTACTTTTTTTTTTTTTTTTTTTTTTTTTTTTAAGTTAATGCATATGAAAATTGTTACTTACGGTTGCATTTGAAAAAATTTGAAAATTTTTATTTAATTTCAGAAATTATTATCAAGAAGGAGCGGTAATGCTTTCTGATGATGCAAAAATGCTCTGTGACACACTGCTTGGCATGAATGCTATCGACTTTAGGTCAGTTTTTGAAATTGGTTTACTTGTTATGAACATTTGGTGCCATGGAAAACCTGTTTCCCACCCCCAAATATTAGGATTTGATAAATTTGTAATAAATACACAAAAGAAAATTGTGTTAAACTGTGACAAATATGAAATAGGGACATTTGTTTTTTTTTTTTTTGTTTTTTTTTTTCTTTTTGTGTGATTTTTTTTTTTTTTTTTTTTTTTTTTTTTTTTTTTTTTTTTTTTTTTTTTTTTTTTTTTTTTTTCACATCTGTGTTTTTGGTTATTTTTTTGTATGTTGTTTTTTTTGGTTTTTTTTTTTTCCTTTCATGTTTTTTTTCACATTTTTTTGTCTTTGCATATGTGTTTTTTTTTTTTTTCATGGGGTTGTTTTTGTGTCTATGCATGTATTTTCTTTTTAAGTTAATGGTTTTTTTGTTTATGGGTGGTGTATGCACGTGTTTTTCTTTTTAAGTTAATGTAATAAAAATATAGGAAATATTTAGATTTTGTTGTTTTTAAGTGAGTTTAACACATCAATTAAAAATAAAAAGAAGCACAATCAATATAATGTCACTGTATATTTAAAGAATAGAACAGCACTCTTCTACACTGGTAATTTCCCTGTATGTCTCCAGGTTGGAGGTTTTAAATACTGTGGAATTTCATAATAGTTATTTGCTGTTAGTTTATATTTAGAATCTTTATTTTTGATTTCTAGTGTCTGGTTCAAAATCATCCTCAGTCTTTTGAACAGGAGTAAATGTTTATCCCTTGTTTCCTGTTTGGTTGGGATTCTAGTTCCTTCTGAAGTTTTTTTTTTTTTTTCCACTTCTTGTAGCCGGTTGCATCTTAGTGGCTTTATTGCCTTTCTTGGGGTGAATTGATTTTAAGAAAAAAAATTGTTGCTTTTCGTTTCCATGATAAAATGAAATGTTTGCACAATTTGAATGTTTAATTTTTTTTTTTTTTTTTTAGTTTTTGTCTGAAAGGAGAGAACATTGAACTTCTTGGCCCAATTGCTGTTGATTACACTCCATATCTACAATATTTTCAAAGGTAAAAAGACTTACTTCTTTTTTTATTTATTCATACATGGCATCCTGAGTATAGTGATAAACTAAGTCCAGCAGCAAAGCCTCTGATCAGAAGGTTTTGAGGAACATGGAACCACCTCTTAATTGCTGTTCCCAGGTCCACCCTGACCCGGGGTGATAGCACCTGTTAGGGTCCCAGCTATGGGCAAATAGTTAACCCCCCCACCAACCTGAGGTCAAAACACTATAGAAGTATAAAAATAGGTTTTTATAGTAAAAATACCTGCAATACATTTTTGACAATTATTACCAGCAAAAAAAAAACATTTAAAAAAAAAAAATTACCAGTAATACATTTGACTCGTGACAAAAACCGTCTTTACAAAAATACGTCAATGAAACCTGATCTCTGACAAACTGATTTCTTACAAAGAATACTTATTCTATTTATATGAACCTATCCTAAAATTCTTGTCAGTATTAAATAACCTATTGAGGTTAATATGTGCTGTAAAACAAAAAAAAAACTATTTAAAAAAAAAACATGATCAAAATATCTTATTTCACTAACATTACTTTAAGATGCTGAATAAAAATTTTAGAAGTTAATATTTAAAAGAAACAGAAAATGAAGATATTTTTTTATTTTAGTTTGAAATTTGATTTGATTGATTTTTCTATGGCTTATCAATCCTTTGCAAGTTATATAAAGCCAGAAAATATTTTTTGATTGTAAGACTTTTTTTGAGATAATGATTTAGTGATACAAGCCTTACTAATTAACCCATAGCTGGGGTGAGAAGAAGTGAATTCATACCTTTCCCAAGATATTTGCAAGTGTATGTAAATGAATATTACAAACCCAACTGGAATTGGAACTATGCTCTCAGATTAACAATTCTGAGCTAATATCCATTACACCACCTGCACATCCAAGCTTACAGCACCCATCTAGGTACTGATCAGGCTTGATGTTGCTTAACTAGTGGTCATGTAGGAACAGGTGTTTCAATATGATGTGGCCGTAATTCTTAAAATTAATGGCAGTAATGATTTCTAGGCAAATGATAAAGCTCACTTCAATAGCATTGTCAACAATGGAAGGCTAGAATTTAGTTTTCTGTTTAGTTCAGTTTTATCAAAGAGCAGTAGGGCTTCCCCAACCCTCTATAGGGCTGTGTATGTGTTTTTTTTTCATTTTTAATCCTCATGGCATAATCTACTGTGTCACTACTCTTAGGCACTTTTTTTTTTTTTTTTTTTTTTTGTCTGTCTATGAAAAATTTCCAACTCCCCCTTCCTCCCTGTCCTCTCCTTATTTATGTTGCGCATTTTGACCCTTTCAATGTCTTTCCAGCATTTCCCATTGGTTGCTTATTGAGAAAGATTCTGTCCCACCCCCGCCTCCAATTATTAAGAACCCCTAACTTCTTAGTATTTGGCACTTGAGAATTGTCATCCTATTTCACACAAATAGCATCATAACAATGAAATACTAATGCAACTCTAGCTAGTCAAGCAGTTTTCTGTAGTAAAACCAATTTCTGTTTTCAGACCAATTTTTCAATGATTTTTTTTATTTTTCTTCTTTCTATCTTTTCACAGTTCGGATAGTATTGAAGCTGACCTGAGAGATTTGAGTAACTCAAATAGCAGCAGCAGTTTGATGAATGAAGAAAACATGAATGAAGAATCTTGGCGTATTAAATATTGCAAACTTGAAGCCAATTATAAAATAATTCATGAACAAAAGGTGATTCTTTTAACTTATTTAATTTTTTTTTTTAAATGACCTCATAAAGCATTTGTAAAAAAATTGGTACCAAATCCTTTCCTCTAAATATAGTGTAATATATAATATAAAAAAATGACACAATATTTGAAAAACAAAGAAACTGACATCGCTCAAAAATCCTCTTTGAAACAGTCTGAAAGTATTCTTGAAAACTGGACAATTTATATTTAAACTTTCTTCAGAAAACAAGAAAGAAAATATTCCAAAATATAGAAAAATAAATTTTAAAAAGTATTTAAAGAACTTTCATCTTTTTTTTTTTTTTTTTTTTTAGCCAAACCTATATTTATACACAATTCTTAATAAGTTGTCCAAATTTCTTAGATGAAGCAACTATTGGTTATGTCCAATATTTAATCATTATTTTACAAACAGCACTAATTGTTCAATAGTTTTTTAAAAGTACAGATCCTATATATATATATATATATATATATATATATATAAATATGTTGAAATTGGGGGAGGAAAAAACAATTTGTATAATTTCTTTTAAGTGGCCAAATTTTCAATCCCCTCTCAACATAGGGGATTGTTGATAATTTTTAAAAATATTAAGCAATAAAACAGAATTACTATTTACTTATTTTTCCCCCTCTTTTTTTATTTTTCCCCCCTCTGTTTTTTTTTTTTTTCTTTTTTCATCTGCATTTTTTGTCTCCAAAAAAATTCTTAGTTTTAAAAACATTTTCTGGCTTTAAATAACCTGCAAGTGGTTGACAAGTAGTAGAAAATGAATCCCTTGATCACTGTTGTCACATCAGTCTAGAGCTGCTGATCCACTCTCCTGATCACATGGCACTGGGGATTTCTCTATATATTTTTTAATCAATTCACCCTAAGCAAGGCAATAATGCCACTGATGCAAATGTCCATTAGGTGTGAAAGAGAATGAAAGATTCCAGGGAGGAGTGTGAATTGGATGATGGGTTCATCTACCTACTCTTATCAAGAATAAATAAATAGTAAATAAAATTTCCAAGTTGGTGATGTTAGAAGTATAGAGTTGAAGTAGACTTTAGAAGGAACTAGAAACCTAAACAGAAAGCAAGAGATATACCTCTACTCCTGTACAAAAGATCATGGAGGAGGTGTGAACTGGATGATTTGACATTTTCATGTTTGCTCATGTTAATAGGTAGTAGTAGTAGTAGTATTAAACTGAATTGTTTTTCACGATGTTTTAATAATCACATTCTTATAGTCTGTAAACTAAAGATTGAGAAAGTGGCTTTTGATTTTATATTATATTTAGTTCTTGCCAAGTCAAATAATTTTCCAATCTTTTCCTAGTTCATCAGTGAAAATCACACTGGCCTGATGCATACATTTTTCTGCAAGGCTACACAGTTTATTTCCATCTTCTGTTTCAACCATGCTCCTTATCTAGATATGGTCTGGTGTACCAGATTTTTCTATTTTACCCTTTGGATATTGTATTTCTATGCTCCTCTGTAGTGAAAGAAATAATCACCTCCTTCGAAAAAGAGCTTGTGTTTTTGTGTGCAATCTGCCGAAGAAAAATTATCAAAAGTAGTTAGCAAAAATCTACTACTTTTAGTATCAGAATCTAAGCTAATGTTCTTTCCTCCTCTGAATGGTGTGGCCAATCAGAAAAATCACTTGGTGACTAAAAGCTGTTGTTGTTCACTTACAAAAGGATTTTTTCTGAGCTTGGTGGACAAACATGTGTTTTTTGCTGGTGAGAAGTGAAAGTTGGATTTTTGACACCATTTTGTTGTTTTTACGTTTGCCTTTTAGACTGTTACAGACTCTCGTTTGAACTGTGATTTGGCTACAAGTGTTGCGGACGGGAGACAGAAGAAACTCATTACAGGCATTTATTGCTACTATAAGTTTTACAGTTTTTTCTTTCTTTTCTTTACTATAACACTCCTCACATTGGCATTTGTATCTGATGGCTAACTTTTTATTCTCATTTACATTTGCATGGGATGTTGTATATGCAGTCTTTTGTCAAATTCTTTTTCTGTTCGGGAACAATTTAAGTGAAGGGGTGGTGAATATTGTATATCTGAAGAAGGCTATAGAGTGGATTAGCTGAAATGTGATAACAAAAGTCACAGAAAGTATTGGGTTCAGTTGTCAACGCAACTCTTGCAATGATAATGAAAACTAAAATTATAGAAAACAAAAAAGTACAACATTTGAACATAATTATGCAAATGGTTGTTTTATTTAATTCTTTTTTTTTTTTCCTTTAATTTTTGGAACAATTGGTTTGTCTTTGAATAATTAAATGATTTTTAAATGTTTGCTTCAAGGGTTATTTTGAAGAACTTGTAAGATTGCGTGAGGACCAACTTCATGAAATTCACAAGCAGTATGAAAAGCATGTGGAAACTTTACACTCTTTGGAGTCTGATGGAATTCGTGAAAGACGCCAACTGGAGTCTGTGATAATCGAGCTACAAGGACAATTGTAAGTATTTTGTTATCATTGCTTGTCTGTCACATGTATTTATTTAGTTTTTGTAATCATTTTACCCCAAGAAAGGCAATAAAGACACAAGGGGTTACTGAGCATGAAAGAATATGATAAAAAGAAAAACATGATTAAGAAGAGAGAAAAATGAAAGAATAGGAATTAAGAAGACAGAAGATATCAATTGACATTGCATTTATATTTTTGAAGATCAAATTTGACTGGAAAGCAAGAAGCTGGAAGAGTTCCACAAGCAAAAAGTGCAATGAAGAAACTGTTAGCATAGAACTTATGGTTACATCTATTAATTTCAACTGTAAAACGAGATCTAGAAGTAGTGTGCTTAAAGTTATAAAGTCTAGGTACCAAAGAAGAAAACTCATAAGAACAATTACCATGAAAATATTTATAGAAAGGGCATAGGGAAGCTATGTTATGGCAGTGATAAAGTGACTGAAGCTGAGATACCAGATCAGGACTGATAACATTGCATATTCTTTGGATTTTATCAAGAATCTCTGAATACCTAGTAGAAGCACCACACCAAGTATGGCAGCAATATTTAAAGCAAAGATGAATAGTAGACTTATAAATGTGTGAGAGATATTCTGTCGAGAAAAATTGTCTAACATAATACTGTGAACCAACATTCCTATCAATTGATTCAATATAATCTTTCCACTTCATGTCAATGGAAAAAGTTCTTCCAAGAAGGCACAATGTGTTGCTCTCCTGGAGGTTAGCATCAGCCAAATTGATAGCAAAAAAGTTTTCTAAAATGATTAAAATAGAGCAGTTTCACTTTGGAGACATTAACATTACCAAGCCATTTCTTGCCCCAGTTAACAACAGATTGTTGGTCATTTTTGAGATCAGCTGCCAATCGAAACTGATCAGACTTACCACAAAGACAGGAGTAAATATTTATGTCATCAGCAGAGATACCGAGTTGAGAGACAGGAACAACTTAGGTGCTGGGGTAGGGGTGGGGTCACCCACATTAATACACACACACACACACACATATACTGCCTGAACAGATAAAAGCAAGTTAAAAGGCCACAATATAAGCAAAAACCCGCTTTAACTTTTAGAGGCCTGACCACCGCTTTACTGGTGATAGAGAAAAATGACGTAATGCCCAGCCACCAGTTGAACAGTGGTAGAAAAAATTATTTAATGCCTAGCTACTGGTTGAAATATTTGTAACTTTCATATCTACTGTGAAAATTACATACAAATTATTTGCAAATTTTGATTCTGGAGCTCAAGCAGAAGGGTTAAAATAGTTCAGGAATGCAAGGCTTAAAGAGTTGAGGATTCAAAACACAAGTCACACAAGTTTTAAAATCAATCAGAATAATTGGGAGAATGATGCTGTGGACTGATTAAAATGGAGGAAAGATATTTACAAGGGAGCAAATGTCTCTGAAAAAAAAACAAAAAAACTTGCAATCAAAGGTAAAAAGGGTCACAAGAACTGAACTGTCAATGCACTTTTTATGTGTGATATTTGTAGCCATGTCTCTCTCCCAAGTTAGCCTGGCCATCCATAGGCATAGCCATAAACTAAAACCTCCAACTGACTAAACAATAGATATATCCAGGCAAATTTATAATAATGTAGAAATAAGTCTGGATTATTTTGACATCAATAAGCAAACAAAACAAGTGTGTGTTTTGTTGTGCTTAAGAGTATATATAGCCCTTGTGGGGTTTCAGTCATTGTACATTAGAATTTATAGGTAACTTGTATATATTTCACCAATTTTAATTTTTTGTTTTATTCAATTTGTTTACTTTGTAACATATTTCATATTTGTTGTTAATTTTGTAGCTTATTTAAATTTCTACATAATTTTTATTTTTATAATGTTAATCAATTTCTTATTACTATAAGCATTATTTTTAGTGGGTATTTGAATTGCTATCCATGTTTTTTGGGTTTTTTTTTTTTCTTACCAGTCACCAAAAATGCATGCTTTATAACCTCTTCAAAAACAATTATTTGTGTATAGTGCAACCCCACCCTATTTTCATGCATAAAAAATTGTTCATAAAATCTCATACTATACTTGAGTATATAGGGTAACTAGTGTCAGTCAGTTTGTATGATGTAATTTCTTTAGTGATTCTATAAAGGTGTGTTGAAAAATTCTCTGGATGATACACTTCCTAAAAATAACCAAATAATCAAACGTCATTTTTTTTTCTTTTTTCCTCATTTTTTTCTTTTTTCTTTCCTTCTTTGTTTCTTTCCTCCTTTGTTTCTTTCCTCCTTTGTTTCTTTCCTCCTTTGTTTCTTTCCTCCTTTGTTTCTTTCCTTCTTTGTTTCTTTCCTTCTTTGTTTCTTTCCTTCTTTGTTTCTTTCCTTCTTTGTTTCTTTCCTTCTTTGTTTCTTTACTTCTTTGTTTCTTTACTTCTTTGTTTCTTTACTTCTTTGTTTCTTTACTTCTTTGTTTCTTTTCTTTCTGTTTCTTTGTTACTTCTTTCTCTTTTGTCTTTCTTCTTTCTCTCTCTTTTTTTCTTTCTCTTGTCAAGTAATATTTTTATTTATAACCTTATCTTTTTTGCTTTCTTTCTTGCTATCAGGAGTGCAATGAAAGACTACAGTCACTCGTTGCAACAAGAATTGCTGTTTTTAATGTCTCGTCAACAAATGATGCCTTTAACACCTGCAATTGAGACCCTATCCACATCAAAAGATCGAACTTCACGAATCCAACAAGTGGATAGTGATCAGTAAGGAATATTTTCTTATTCATCAATGTCTTGCTAAAAAGTTTTTCATTTTTGATGTGAAAACCTCTTTCTCCTTAGCAGCAAATGATTGCTGGCTTGAATTGAGAAATTTGAAAAGCCATATTTGTTTGATAAAAACAAAGTCTTAAGAAAAAAACATGATAAAGAAAAGGCTTAAAATTATTCAAACAAATCTTCCTTCTACAAGAAGGGAGTAAATTTTAAAAACTTGCTTAATATTTGTAAAGCTTCTAATATGGGGGTCATGTAAGAAGATGCTTGTCTCATGGTTAATATCTCTCTCTCTCACTGTTTCATATTCTTTTTCTGACTCTCTCTCTCTCTCTCTCTCTCTTTATTTCTCTCTCTCTCACTGATTCTCTCTCTTGCTGAGTCTTTTTCTTTTCTCTCTCATACACAAAGATGGCGACACTTACAAGCCATTTCTTATTGAGCGCTTTGATATTAATGACCTTTGTGGCAAGCTAGGTTATCCCCCTTGTTATTCATATATTAGCTTACTACAAGGCCAGAAAGATTGTCTTCCAACTAGGAAGGGTTTATTTGCCTTGAAAATCTGCATTTGAAACCCTGGCTTTAACTTGGGCTTGAACTGTAATCTTTTGTGCCAGTGGGATAGATGAACCTACCTAAACGAAGACTAACACCTTTGTCTTACATTTAAAATTTTTGTTTTAAAATATCCTCTTAGAAAATTTAAAGCAATAGCTTAGTAGTAAAAAATATATTAGTGTTTGAAGTTTTTTGTTTTATTTTATTTTATTTTTATTATGACTTTATTGTTTATTTTTAGATCAAGTTATGTATCTCCTGAATCAACCCCTGGTCTGGGACAATCAGCTCGACGTCACAGTAGTGGCATCAGCAGCCAATCTTCTTTGACAGTCCCAATGTACAAAATTCAGAAAAAGGAAGATTCCCAAAGTTTAGTTCCTTTGGCCGGCTCATTCTCATCTGAAGCCAGTATGAAAATGAATGATACTCCCATGTCTGGTCCATCTGGCAATTCCCAGGCTTTAGATAGTGACAGCGACCTTCCCAGCAGTGCTGCAAGCGAGATGACCCGCCAACAACAGCAGGCCCAGATGCTCAGGTCTCCAAAGCACAAAATAAAAGTAGAGGCAAATGAGGGTGAAAATAATACTGGCATCATTGTATCTTCACCTACGACCAGCAGGCCTGCAAGGGGAAGCCTGCATGACATTACTCGGCCTGACTTGGTTGCTTTTTGTGACCCAGCCGACAATGGCAACATTGAAGTAATCTCACCTGAACGAAAGGCGGCCTACGATAGCCAGAATTCCGACAATGGAAATGAAGGCACAGAACACAGCTATGAGATGATGGAGTTGGAGAAAAATGTTCCATCAGATCGGCCTGCTTCAAATCCTGAACACGAGCCATCGGATTCATCTGCAAAATCCGAGAAGGATGGTGTCGAGCTTTTGGAACCAAATAATGGTCATTCTGACTCTGAAACTGGAAGCTCCAGTTGGTCAGATGTTGGCTTGGTACAAGACTCTGGGGATTCGGATTGTAATGGTGGGGCCAACACAAAACAGGACAGTATGGACAATGTGTCTGATGCCCAGGCTTCATAGTTTAAGAGTTCTAGAAACCAAATTACTTTAGATTAAAATATTCCGTAAAAATAGTGTTTATATTACCATATCAGTAAAGTATGTATATTTGATGGTCTCAAATGCTTTTTTTTTTTTTTTTTTTTAAATATTATAACTTGTGCTTAATCAAGTCTTCTGGATCCATTTTTGGTAAAACTTTAAATGTAAGCAAAGTAAATGTTCTAATATATACATGGATGTGTGCTCAAAGCTAGTACACAAGAAATATAACAAAGGATTCAGTCAGGAACAAAAATAAAGCAATGTCAGTGAAACATTTTATCTTATGAAGAACCATGTTGTGATAAAAGGCTCGATGATATTTTATGAACATTTAATTCCAGTTTATTTGAATTCTGTAATGTAGTATTAAAAAAAAAAATCCTCCCCCGCCCCCTGCCTTTTTTCTCATTTATAGATTTTTTTTTCTATGCTCCTGGCTTGAATAAAGTCTTGGGTAAAATGGATTCTGTGATAAATACTCTAAGAAGGAAATCAAAATATATGTAGCAAGTTAGGGGCTAAAGTTTGGGTATAGGAAAATTTACATCTTTATATTGACTGCACTTCGTATCTTTCTACTCCACCAATTGATAATTACTTGATTTGAATGATTTTGTGATGATTACAAAAATATGGTTCATTACTGATTAATATGACTTATAATATTAATTATATCTGATTGATTGGTAATTATTTCTGGTCTTCTTTTTATAAATATTAAGCTTATGTTTTATATGTTTTGTGGGTTTTTTTTTTTTTTTTTTTTTGTACATTTTATATGTTCATAAAAAATATCTTGGTATTTTTTTTCTTTTTTCTTTTTTTTTTTTTTTTCTTGGTTCTCATTTTGGTAGTAAAATGCTTTTGATTTAAACTTGATTTCTATTGGCACAATTTAATCATGAATTTAAAAATGAATACCAAATAATATTTCTATCGTTGCTTCATTATTACCCCCCTACGTATTTGATTTATAAATATAACAATGAACAAAAAGTACTTTTGTTAATACTTGTGTATATATATATATATATATATATATATATATATACACACACACTACAGTTCAAAAGTTTGAGAAAACCCTGGTAATTTTTTAAATTGGTCCAAAAAGTTATTTTTTTGTACTTTGAATAATAGAAAATGATTATAAAAAAAAAAAAAAGCAATATATGGTTTTTCTATTAGAAATTTTATTACAACAAAAAGAAAAAAGTATATTATGACTAAATTTTGCTCTTGTCAAAATATCCTCCTTTAGCCTTGATTACTGCAGCACAAATTTTTGGTATTTGTTGCAAAAGTTTCTCAAAGTATAAGTTCAATAATTGATTCCTTTCTTTTTTCAATGACTCTAAGAGCTCTTTTTCATTTTTTTTTCACTCCTCCCATGCTAATTCTGGGGGTGGCTTCAAACTTTTGAACTGTAGTGGATGGAGATTACATCATAGATGTAGCCATAACATCTATGCTGACAGTTTCTTTTCTCGGTTGTGGAACTTCCTTCAGCTTCATGCTTTCCAACTATCTTTAATCTGCAAAAATTTAAATGCAGTGTCAATTGCTATCTACTGTTCTTCTGATTGCTCTTTTTTCTTTCTTCTCATTACTAATGTTTCTGTTTCTAATTCCTCCACAATATATATATATATATATATATATATATATATATATGGGGGGGAAAAAATGTACAACAAAGTGAGGAAAATGTTTTTGTGTGACTCATTTCATCCTTTAGGACTTCATCAGACTAAATTAGTTAAATTTAGTGTCATTTTTTTATTATTGTGTCTACTAGGTCTCCTTTATGAATCCTGGTGACAAATTTTAAAGCAAAGCTAAAAACTTCCGATTTGATATTGAATAGCTTTATATCCAATAGATTTTCTATTAGACATGGCCTTCCACAAAACCCTGATAAAATTCATTTTCTTTGCTCCTATAAACCACAATGAAAATCTGATGTAGCTATCTGGGCGAGTAGATACACATGTCAAAAAAAAAAAAAAATGACTGCCATGTTTAAGCATTGGTTATATTTTCTGCAAGAATAATCTAGGATTTTGTTTTTTATTTTCTATTAGATCTGGCATTCCAACATATTTCCTCTGGTTGTTACTGCTTAGCATGTTATGGAAGGCCAGATCTAATAGAAAATCTATTGCATATAAAGCTATCCAATACCAAAGAGGAAACCCTCTGCTTCGGTTTTAAATTTGCCATTGGGATTCATAAAGGAAATCTAGTAGACACAATAATAATAAAAAAATAAACAAAATGACAATGAATTTAACAAATTTAGTCTGATAAAGTACTGAAGGACAAAACGCATCACATGAAAACTATTTTTTATACATTTTCTTCCACCAATATTCTTGATATATAAAATTTATATATTGTTATCTCTATCTATCTATCTATCTCTCTCATTTATATATATATATATAAATAAATCCTAAAGAGTCAAGAACTACCTAGCTAGGTTTCACCTAAATGGATCTTTGGGATAAGCTGGCTTCAGTGTAAGCTGACTTACCCTGAAGATCCATTTAGGTGAAACCTAGGGAGGTAGTTCCTGGCTCTTTAGGATTATTTTATTTACCTTTTCTCTACTTAGCGCATTGAGCACTCTATGTTTTATCTTAGTTACTCGCTTGGGTTTTTTTTTTCTTTGGACTGGAAATTTAACACACTGGATGATTTTTTTTTTTTTTTTTCACCCTGTTCGGATGTTTCTAGTGCTTTCTTTTTTTCCCAATTTTTTCCTCAGATACCAATTTGTTGTGATATACTGTCAAATTGTGCCATCTGGGGTTTTTTTTACCAGCTGAGTATAATTATTAGTATAATATATATATATATATACACACACACACACAGATACAAAAGAAAACTTTTCCTTTTGTCTTTATTCATATTGTCCTTTTACAGATATACTTTTAGTTATATCTGAAATTTTTACATATCTAGACACATAAACACAAACCTATTATTATTTATATTGTCTTGGCAGTAAAATCATTTTTATTATTACTGCTGTAGTAATTAAAATTTATTATTTCTGCAATAATTAAAATATAGCTTCAAATGGACATTTTATTATTGATATTCTGTTTCAGTTTTCACAGTGAATAATCAGTACCTAATTACTAGATAATGAATCAGCAATCATATCAAGAAATAGATATGTAGATAGGAAACTTGTTTATTTTTGGAACTCATCTGGTCAATTATTAAATTCTTAATAAGAGTTAGATCTTTGAATAGATATACAATTAACAATTTGAAAATAAGACAAATCCTATTTATTTTTCTTGTCATACCTTTGAGTTTTTAAAGCAAGTCTATGGAAATGTTAGTGGTGTGATACATAGTCATTAGATGAATTTTGATCTAAAATTTTCATTGTATAATATTTTCCCCCCAAATTAAGTGCATTGTGTAAAATTATTTTTTTTTTTTACTTGTTTCTTTTCAGCATTAGGCTGCAAATTTATTGAGATACTGATGCATTTTATTTGCTCTCCTTTGTTTGGGAGAGGGGGGGGTCATAAATAGGTAAATGTGAAATATCCTAAAAAATGTATTTATTTTAAATTACCATTCATGTTTGCAGTGTACAGTTAAGGTGTCAGGTTGCTCTTTTGTGGGCCCTTCCTGACACAATGGAGGACCATTTTACTAAGTCATTTCCAGCCTAAATAAAATAGGTAACTGAATAAATTTATGTGTATTAAAAAGCTACTTTTAAAATTATCTAAAAATTTAGCACTATTATATATGTAAGAAAAGGAATATGCAAATTATAAGCAAAATCCCCACAGTGGGTTTTCTTCAGTGTACAAAGATTTCAAATTTTAAGATATGGCATGCATTTACACTATTTACATTGTTCAGCTTGTTATCCTCGTCTTTATTGTCATATTTGCAATGTTTTGGCCATTGTACACTCCGGCCTTCTTCAGGATCTGTCTATATTTTTGTGATGAGGTATTATAACTATTTACACCATTTACATTGTTGTCCTCATCTTTATTGTCAGTCTGAACAACGTAAATTGTGTAAATAATTAAAATACCTCATCTCAGAAATACACACAGATGGTATACATTGTCAAAAAGACAAAACAATTTGCTGTAATTAATCTAATTTCTTATAAAGAGAAACAAGTTTTCACTCATTGTTTGATTTTGTAAAAATAAATGATGCAGTTTAGTAATTATAATTTAATTCTGAAATAACATCCTCATTCTCTTGGATTAATTGTTTGACTCTTCTCAAATGTATAAATATAGAATTTCAGTTTGAGTCAGAAAATCTGTATTTGATCGGGCCATTCAACAGTAAGAAATATGTTTCATTTTCTGCCTCACAAGGCGGATATTTTACAATGAAGGTATCGCAAGTGGCAGAAAGAAAATATATTGTAAAGTTGAAAAATGAGTTGATGATTTTACCAAATTGCATGATGAATTGCAATTTCCCTGATAATGTATATATTTTAACCATTACATCTCCTTCAGTGAAATTTTATCAGGGTCAGTTGTAATAAAACAACAAATGTATTTTTTTTTTTTTTTTTTTTTTTTTTTTTTTTTTTGGTACTTTTGTAGATTAGTCACCAAATTGATATTTGGACTATTGTCCTTATCATGGTTGTTATTATCACAACATTTCAGCCGTTGTACCCTCCAGCCTTCCTCAGGTGTATACCAATCTGGGTAACCTACAGGGAATTCAGAACTGAATCCTCTATTTAATCCCCAAGGGTAGATGGTTCTCATTCCACTGCTCATGTCAAGGGATATTATCAAGTTCTTATTTTTATTTAGTACAGTTCAGTTATTGCTCGCCCATTTCCAGACTCAGGGATTGAACTCACAACCACTATGTCACCAAATTCACAAACTACAGTAGCCTAGTGGGTAAAAGCATTGGTTTTAGGACAATTAGCAGTTGGTTTGTGAATTTGTTGGTATAGTGACTGTGTTCAATCCCTGGGTCAGGGGGTGTGTACTTGTACTCAGTGGAAATGGGTGAGCAATAACTGGACAGTAGTAAGAACTTGACAATATTTCTAGGCATAAGTAGTGGAATAAGAACAAGCCTACCCTCACAAATTAAATAAAGGGTTCAGAATTTGACATGTTATCAGATTGAGATATATATATATATATATATATATATATATATATATATATATATATATATATATATATGAAAGTGAACATAGAAATCAACCCTCTGTTTCATGCTATATGCAATCATCAGGCCACCCTGCATATAGCATGAAACAGACTAACGCCTCTAAGTGTTGACTTCTATGTTCACTTTTATATTTACACACGCTCTATCTCTGATATCGAGCACTTTATCCCATAAATATAGCACACTTTAAGACTACATTCCTTCATATATATATATATATATATACCTGAGGAAGGTAGGAGGGTACAACAGTCGAAACGTGATAACAAGAACAAAGATGAGGACAATAGTCTGAACATAAATAGTAATAACTCCTCATCCCAGAAATTCAACAAATCATAAAAATTTGTTTAGTCTATAATAATTATTGAATAAAGTTAAAACAGTTTCTTCCCAGTTATGAATATAAAAAAAGAAAAGAGATTTATTTAAACTTTGGCTATGTTTCAGAGTAATAGCCTAATGGATTTAAGTGTTGGTTTGTGAATATGGTGACATAGTAATTGTGAGTTCAATCTCTTGGCCAGGTAGTGCTGACTTGGTGGAAACTGGGCAAACAATAACTGAGCAGTACGAAATAAAGTAAGGTATCCCTAGGTATAGACAGCAGAATGAGGACAATTTACCCCCTGTAGATTAAATAAGGTGTTCAGTTCAAAATACCCTGGAAATGACCCGTATCAACAAACACTTGGAGGAGGCTGGAGGGCACAATGGCTAAAATGTTGTGATAATAACAAAGATGGAGTCAATTGTCAGTGTAAATAATGATAACACCTCATCCCAGAAATTCACATATCTATGAGTTTATTATGCAATACTGCCTTATAGCGACTATTGAAATGGTTCATGATTGTTTTTGACTGTGATTGTCATATATAATATTATCAGTAGAGTTATACAATAACAAAAATTGCAGCCAGAAATTATCTTTTTTCTTTTTTTTCATTTTCCTTCTTTCTTCTTTTTTTCTTTTTTTTTTCTTCTTTTTTCTTCTTTTCCTTCTTTTTTCTTTCTTTTTCCTTCTTTTTCCTTCCTTCTTCTTTTCCTTCTTTCTTCTTTTTCCTTCTTTCTTCTTTTTCCTTCTTTCTTCTTTTTCCTTCTTTCTTCTTTTTCCTTCTTTCTTCTTTTTCCTTCTTTCTTCTTTTTCCTTCTTTCTTCTTTTTCCTTCTTTCTTCTTTTTCCTTCTTTCTTCTTTTTCCTTCTTCTTTTTTTCCTTCTTTCTTCTTTTTCCTTCTTTCTTCTTTTTCCTTCTTTCTTCTTTTTCCTTCTTTTTCCTTCTTTCTTCTTTTTCCTTTCTTTTCCTTCTTTCTTCTTTTCTTCTTCTTCTTTTCCTTCTTCTTTCTTCTTTTTCCTTTCTTCTTTTCCTTTTTCTTCTTTTCTTTTTTTCTTTTTCTTCTTTTTCTTTTCTTTCTTCTTTTCTTCTTCTTTTCTTTTCTTTTCTTCTTCTTTTTCCTTCTTTTTTCTTTTTCCTTTTTTTTCCTTCTTCTCTTTTTTCTTTTTTCTTCTTTTTTTCCTTTTTCCTTCTTTCTTCTTTTTCTTTTTCTTTTCCTTCTTTCTTTTTTTTCTCTTTTTTCCTTTTTTCTTCTTCTTTTTTTTTTCTTTTTTCCTTTTCCTTTTTTCCTTTTCTTCTTTTTCTTTTTTTTTTCTTCTTTTCTTTTTTTTTCTTTTTTTCTTCTTTTTCTTTTTATTTTTTCTTTTTTCTTCTTTATCCTTTCTTCTTTTTTCTTTTTCCTTCTTTCTTTTTTCTTTTTCTTCTTTTTTTCTTTTTTTCTTCTTTTTCTTTTTTTCTTCTTCTTGGTCCATCATGTCTCTTTTGATTCATGACTGACTAGGTAAAAGATTTTCCTGCAGTAGGTTGCTGTTTCTTTCTTTCTTTCTTCCTTTCTTTCTTCTATTGGGTCCTATTATAGCCTTCAGTGGCAACCAATCTGTCTTGTTATTCAACCCATAGCTGGGGGTAGAAAATATGGATTCATACCTTTCCCAAGTGTATTTGCATGTAAGTGAATGTAACGAACCTGAACGAAATTCGAAATAAATACGTAGTTGTTATTTACATTGTTTTGGTTGTTGTCTTCATCTCCATTGCCATATTCACAACATTTTAGCTGTTGTATGATCTGGCCTTCTTCAGGTGATAGGAATTTTGAAATTCCAATCACCTGAAGAAGGCCACAGCATACAACAACTGAAATGTTGTGAATATGGCAACAAAGATGAGGATAATGTAAATAGTGTAAATAATTACAATACCTTAACTCAAAAATATAGCCAGATATACATAGTTATGTTATTTTAATGAACAAATATATATGTTGCTCATAAAAGGTAATAGATGAGTCAAGTTCTATTTCTAATGTATACCAGTTTATTATAACTAAAGGAATCTTTTTTCATATCTTTGCTTATTCCATGGCACATTTGTTTGTAAGCTGGTTTCACAAGCTATCAAAAATTAACTTGATCCTTTGTCCACTAGGTATCACTTTTACTTTGTAAAAAAAAAAAACACTTAAAAGTGCATTTTAAATAATTTAAATCTCTTGAAGTTAAATTTTACTTTTATTTCACACATAAAGCTAATCTATACAAAAAAAATTTGTATTTAAATAAAGATTTTAGACATTTTTAAAACATTGGTACAATCATCTGTGACGATTCCTCAAACCTCAATTATTGATGAGGTAAGAGAATTAATAATTTAAAAATCTAATATTTGTCCAAGAGATTTGTTTAAAAGTGTATTAGTAAATTGAAGGATTAATTGGATTTTTTTCTTTTTTAAATAATAATGATACAACATTATTTTGCTTAAAACATAGCAAACATAGTATTAAATACATCTTTACTCATTCATCAACTAATTAAATATCTATCATTGTTCCCTATACAAGATTAAAATAAATAATTTTACATGTAGCTAAGTCTATATTTAACATTGTTTGCCTTGTTAAACAAGGTCTTTTTCGGTTTTTTCTTATATGGACACATTTTTTTTGCACCTTGTCAATCGAAGAAAGACAATTGCAGAAATTTTAATCCTTTCACTGTGTAATTAAATTTCATGGTCATTCCTGTAATTATGTTAATTACCCCCCAAATAAACCCCTTCTTGCAGCATAAGGAGAGCTTTTTTTCAAAAGCATGGGGTAAATCTGCTTCCTGCAGCTAATGGTAATAAGATTTTCAGCGGATATGTCTACTTTCTGCAGCAAAGGGTTAGGTTATGGGAAAGTTTCATTTAAAATTATTCCTTTTTTTTTTTTTTTTTTTTTTTTTTTTATACAATGATATTCACCCTGCAGATGGCCCAAAAGTTACTCAAGGTAGAGTAATAAGCACAGTTTATGAATAAGATGGTACTGGTCAAGGAAGCATCCTCTTTTTTTGCCTTTTGAACAAATGGTAAAATGATTTTATAATGCAGTAATTTACTGAACAGTTTTATTGAATCTGTTGTGCTGGGTAAATCTGATAAGGATTTTATATATATCCCCACTGTAGCTCGTCTTATAATCAATTGGGAATGTTTATTCTGAAAGCCTTGTAGGAACATTTTGTCGGTGTCTTATTTGAAATATGAGATCTATTTTGCTCCATTGATGCACCCCCGATCCTAAAGTGTAGTAAATTACTTTTGTAGGTAAAGGTTTACTTTTAGTAATTAAAAAAAACAACAGTATGTACAGTTATGGCCAACAACAATACCCCCCCCCACTTCCCAACAATTGAATATTTAGGGAGAGAAAATTAGACATCCTTGTTAGTGATATTAACCAGATCTATCTTTCTCCAATGATTTATTATTATTATTATTATTATCATCATCTTTTTCATTAATATTATTATTAATATTAGTATTGTTATTTAGTGTGAAGTTTTTTGGGTTTTTTTCCAAGTTGCTTTCCTTGAAAGGCAATGGATTGGTTCTGTTTTAACTAATTTTTAGTAGCAATATAACATCTGAATTTTTTCCCCTAAAACTGAAAAGCTCCTTTTTTTTTTTTTTTTTTTAAAAATTGTTCAATTTTTTATTTGAAATTTTATTTAAATAAAAATGTTAATTTTTTTTTTTATCCCCTTTGTTTGATTAACAATCATAGAATGTTATCATGACCTGAAAGTTATAAAAAGCAACAAAAATAAGATGAAAGAAAAACTAGTTAAAAATTAATAAAGTTAATCTGTAAATTATCAAAGGTAAAGAGCTTTTTTTTTCTCTGAAAGTCAATTTAGTGCCTATGACACCTGCAATTGTCACGAAATATTTTTGTGTACTATTTAGAATGGAATGAATTTAGTAAAAAGGTTAGCTTATAAATATCCATATTATAAATACATAATAACGCAACATTAACCATACATAATAATCATATCTTATTTGAAAGCAACTGTTTGAATCTTGATCCAAGTCTCATTTTTTTATTCACTTTGTCTATTTTTGAACTTGAAAAATATGTGATACCTGCTATCTGCCTGTACAGGTTAAATGTATAAAATGTTCTTTACCCGGTGTAAGTTTATAATTGAAAGAGTGAAAGAGATTATGAACAGTTGTAATACTTGATCTCTTAATCTTATTGGAGGGACTCTCTTCTATTTTTCCTTTTTTTTTTTTTTTTTTTTTTTTTTTTCTTTTTCATTTTTCTCTTTCTTTTCCATTTTTCTCTTTCTTTTCCATTTTCTCCCATTTTTTTCTCTCTCTTTTTATTTTCCCACATTTTTTTCTCCTATCTCCATACAGTTTATTTTATGGGGGGGATGGAATTACAAGACAATGTGAACAAAAAAAATGATGGGTAGCTCTCAATCAAACACGAAAGCATGACTTTCTTTTTTTTTTTTTTTTTTTTTTTTTTTTTTTTTTTTTTTGAGCTGGTGAGCAATTGAGCCAAATTTGAGAGAACAGAATATATTAAAATACACAATTACTTTTTCATACTATTCCAGTTAATATCCATTCTTAATATGTTTACTGCTTTGCAACCAATTGCCTCTGATGCACATATCTTTTCATTCCAGTTAAATTCAAGACAATATAAAAATCTGCAGAAGTGTAGCTATTTGTAGTATCTTTTCTTTTTAAATTGAGCATAATGCCCAAAAGAATTGCATGATAGTATTAAAATTTAAAGTAATAATTAACAATGATAATCCATTGGATATTTATGAATCAGATCCACTTTTAAAATAGGAAATTATGCCATTCAAAAGGCAACTTTGAGAGAAAGACAACTGTCATTTATAAAATCTTTGCTTTTTGACAAAAATTGGATATCTGAAAGGAGTTTATCTTAGTGCATTCAAAGTGAACTTTTTAAATGTTATGATTTTTATCAACTCCATATCAACATTATTGATTTTAAAAATTTAAGGCAATTTGGAACAAAATATTTTTTTTTTTTTTTTTTTTTTTTTTTCTAACAAATTTTTTTTTCTTATTTGTTTGATGATTGTTGGCACCAAACCTGTGGACTTTAATGAAAATTTGGTTGAAAGTTTATTTTTAAACACAATGCAGTTAAACCTTCTTTTTTCTTCTTTTTCACTTTTACTGTAAAATGTAATAATATCACCGAGTTATAGAAATACTGTTTTTTTTTTTTTTTTTTTTTTTTTTTTTTTTCTTTTTCATACTCATTAACCAATATCTTTTAACTTTGTTACTCACCCCCCTATCAAGTGTTCAGATTTACTATTTCATGTCCTTAATGAACTTTAAACCAAGATCCATTTTCATTTAATGAAAATGACTGCACTGTACACTCATCCAATATTGTGATAATTTTATTGGCGCTATTAGAATAAACAATTTTACAAAATATTTTACATTACATGTATATTACTTTGGAGGTCATTTGATTATTTTAATTATTTTTTTCAATACTTTTTTCTTTTTTTCACAGCCACCTTTTTTCTTTTTATATGCAAGTTTATGAAAATTGTTATGAATTCTTCATTTTTTTTTTTGTTCATAAAATCTTAACTTTTTAATTTAAAAAAAAAAAAATAATTGATTTTATTTTGGCATCATCCAGTTTACACACCTCCCCAGTCTTTTGAACAGTAGTAGGGATTTATCCTTTGTTTCCTGTTTAGGATTGCATTTTTGGCTTATAAAGTATTCTCATTCTCTCTCCAGTATCCCCTTGCATCTTAGTGGCATTATCACCTTGCTTGAGGTGAATTCATTAAAAAAAAAAAAAACTTATGATGCACTTTTTGTCTTGTTTAACATGTTCTGCTCTTGTAATAATTACAGTTTGAACAGTGTGTTGGAGTCAAACATCTTTTTACAGCCAACTCTGGTGCCTTCTTACAGTACATGTTATATATAATTTTAGGGGATAGACATATTACAAAGTGGAAGTAGTTTTTGTGTGACACGTTTCGTTCTTTAGGACTTCTGAACATCACACAAACTTTCTCCACCTTGTCATATTTCTTTGCTCTAAAATTGTTCTTGATATATAATTATATATTGTTTTTCCGTATATATAATTTTTTCTTTTCCAGGCAAAAGAGGGAAAATCTATTTTTTTTTTTTTTTTTTTTTTTTTAAATTTACATAATTATATCATATCAACCGGTTTTCTTTCATATGTCATGTCCTTTTAGAGTGTGGAAAATTATGGCTCTCCACAGCTTCCTGTCACTAATCAATTTAACTCTTAGCCCTTTACTATTTCTTGTTTTTGTTGTCCTTGTTCTGTTATTTATTCACTCAAACTCATCATTTTGGTTACTCCGCTTTTTCCCACCCAACTTTTGTCTTAATGTCTTCAGTGTTAAATTCTCCAAGCCTTCTTTCCTCATCATGTGTCCCAGAACCTTCAGCTCTCTCTCTCTCTGATTGTTAGCAACAATTTCCTTTCTCCTTTCTTCCCATAGTCCTCTAACAAAGATTACAGTAAATAATTGTAATGTTTTTAGTTGCATTCTTTGTACATTTAAGGGTTGCTTACTCCTACTAAAGGTTGAAGTGTCTCACTTTTTAGAAACAGTATCTCCTTTGCTGTTGACAGTAACCATTCTCCCACAAAACAGATTTAAGACTTGATTCAAAAGAGAAGTTTATTGTTGTACTACTATCTTTTAACACCTCCCCCAAGTGGGATTTTTTTTTTTTTTTTTGGTTTACTCCCTGTTCCTAAGTGGTCCCCCATCTAAATACAGACCAGACTCGATGGTGCTTGAGATCAATGACTGAACAGGAACTGGTGTTTTCTGGATTATTTGACAGTATTTCAACTTTCCATGTCGTTACAGTTAATAAATTTATCTGCTTCATTATAAAGTATATATCTAAGCTATTTATATTATAAACTATATATGGATAACTGCTATCTATTATAATATTTATAATAATGACTAACCAGATAAGTCACTTGAACTTTTCTTGACTTACTAAGTATTATGTTTATATAATTCTCAAAGTATTGTTACATTTTCATACACTAAATGCATCAACTATTATGGGACTGTTGTTGTATCAACTATTATGGGACAGAGGTAGTATTATATATTGCTGCCTCTGTCCCATAATAATTGTTACATTTTCATACACATTTCATACATATGTATCAACTATTATGGAACAGATATAATTGGTGTATACGGAATGAATTCCAATAACCAACAATTACTATTCTTAAAAGAGTGCTCAATACAAAGTAGAGCAGATATAATTATTATTTATAAAAAATAAAAATTTATAACATAAATATAACATATTTATGTTATTTTTTTTTTTTTTTTTTTTTTTTTTTTTTTATAAATAATAATTATATATGTATGTAATAAATTTTAGATATTGCATATTTAGATAGTAATTGTTCATATCAACATGTTTGATTGAATAGAATAGGCAAGGGATGTCTGTTTAGCCTTTTGGTGTATTTCTCCTGGAGTCAACTTTGTCATTTGATGACTACTGGAAAATTTGTAATAGAACTTATCAAAATTAGGCGTAATGGTCTAAGTACTGTCGGCCTGTTGTTGGTCTCTCTCTCTCTCTTTCTCTTTCTTTTTTTTTTTTTTTTTTTTTTTTTTTTTTTTTAAGAAGAGAGGAATGGCAATAATCAGCAGAAACTTCATGTTGTTAATGGTCCAGATTTTTTAAATGGATGTATTTCCAGATGTAATGGTTGTGGAATAGATTTTAGTAACATGTGATTAAAATGACCTTAACATTGAAAGGTATTTTTACACTTGTATGTCAAGATTGAAAGCAAATTTTATTGATGGTGGAGAGGAGTTGCCATCTTTGGATGTGAAGGGCCTCAAAAAATTTCTTTTGTTTTTTTGGGGGTGGGGGTTGCAATTGAATTGGCATAATGCTGTTGTTAACCATAATCTGATGGTAATTAAAAGGGATACAATGGATTTGTGTTAACTCCTTTTCTGACAATTATTTTAGGAAAAAACGTTTCATTTCCAGAAGAATTTTTTTATTTGTTTGGGAAGACTAAGAAACTGTGGCACCCTGAAGTACCAGAGCAATGGCTAACACTTCTACCAGACGTACAAGTTGACAATTGGATTCGTTTCAAGCTCAGAAGGGCATAAAAAGAATTAAGATCAACTTATAAACATGTCTGTAGCAGGTTTTTGAACATTGTGTTTTGGATGTGTTTATTTGTCAGTGTCTGAAAAAGATATTTTCAGTAAAAACGTATATACACATCTACATGGGGAAGGGGTTAAGTGTTTATACATGGTACATTGTTCAGACAGGTGGCAGGTCAATCTTCTCATGAGAAATGATGGGAGATGACCAATGTTTTTTTTTTTTTTTCTTTTTAACTTTTATTTATTTTTATTTTTATTTTTTTTTTTTTATCAGACACCATCTCCAAAAGGATAATATTAGTAGTTTACAAAGTATTTTTTTTTTTTTTTTTTTGTAGAGAAGTAAAACACACACACACATATATGAACAACTCCTTAGAGGGTATGCTACAAAAGCACACCAGAGAAAAAGAGCTCAATTGCAGAGCATTAATATTATTTTTCTTAATTATTTTCAGCCTACATTGACTGATCATTGCTATTTTCATGTGCTAAGGGACAGTCATCATATATTATGAATATACTCTAGTATGTGGGAGGACTGTGTTCTCGAAGACTCTTTTGCTTAAGGCCCTGTTGTTTCCCGTGCCATTGAAAACTTTTTAGTCACACTTCTGATTTATTCTGTTTATTGTTTTCTGTGCTTTTTTCCTTTCACAATGACGATTCTTCAGCTCTTCCATCTTGGCCATGTGGACATTTGGCGAGTTTAGTCATTCTGTTCAAATCAGCCACCCTCATTGTAATATCTTTAGTTAGCTGAGGGAGTATAAAATGACAATTTCAATATAAAATAAACCCCGTGCCAACTACCTGATGATTGCATGAAAGCACAGAAAAATAGTAGTGGTCATTCAATAGATGCCAGAAAATAATTAAGAAAAATAAAATATATATATATATATATATAGTTATCCTATGTGTATCAATAAAAGTGGCACAATATCAGATAAAGTGTATGTAAATATAAAAGTGGACACAGGTCAACATGAAGCAACAAAACAAACTTGCCATTTGGTGTTGACTTCAGTGAGTACACATGCACACAGTTTAAGTTTTAATGTGATGATATATATGTGTTATATGTAAAGAGAGAAAAAGCAGCAAACATTATTTTATTATAATGTGGATTTTTTATGTACTTTTTCTATATATTTTGCTACTTAAGTTTTGGGTCTTGTGACCTTCATCGGCCAAAGAATGGTTATTTATGCATATTATTTAAAGGACTTAATTTTCTCTTCCTATGTTAAGTATTTTAAGCATTGTCTTTTGTGCATAGTAATAGTCGTTTGTCTACTATGACATATGACATACTACACACAAAAGGCAATGGTTAAAAGACTTAGGAAGAAAAAATTAATTCCTTGAAATAATATGTGGGAATGACCATTTTTCGCTTGATAAAGGCCACAAAAAAGAAACATGTAACAAAATATATAGAATAAAGTATATAAAATTATCAAAAACGTTTGTAACTTTTCTCTCATTGGAACAATTATAATCTCTCCTTTTGCATGTGTGTGTGTGTGTGTGTGTGTGTATATATATATATATATATATATATATATATATATATATATATACACACACACACACAGGGTTGGTACAGATGGATTCAAATTCCAATAACCAAAAATGCTATTCTTAAGAGTGCTCAATACCAAGTAGAGCAAATAATATATATTCAAAATTATAACATGTACATGTTATGACATCACTAAAAAAAAAAAATTGCCATTTTGTTTCAACATTATTGGTGTCTTATCAAGTGATGGTGTTGATTGCAAAATAAAGGATTTCAAGAGTTAAAAAAAACAATCAACCAACCCCACTCAGTAGGGTATAAAATTTGTGGCGGGAATGTACTGAGAGGGTTTCGTTGGTTTTTGAACTCTTGAAACCCTTTATTTTGCAATCAACACCATCACTTGATAAGATACCAATAGTGTTGAAACAAAATTGCAATTTTTTTTAGTGCGGTTATATATATGTGTGTGTGTGTGTGTGTTTTTAAGTTTGAATGTTATCAGTTAGAGAATCTTATTTTATATTGGGAAAGACTGGGGAAATCTACAAAAAATACAAAATATTTAATTTCTTGAAAGTTATTAAAATGTTGGACTGTGTTAAAGGTTCAAAATTAAATTCTTATTTACAAACATTGACAGCATTGACCTCATTTTGTTAATTTCATTTACTAAAATTGAACATTGTTTATTTGGAAAAAAAAAAAAATAATATAAAATTCTTGAATGTATTTTACTAAAATTTTATTGTTCTCTTCAAATTTTCTACTAAAACAGGAACTAGAGATAATCTTTTAATATACGGTTGAAAAATGTCATCAAACTAAAGAAAAATCTTTTTTTCTTTTTTTTTTTTTAAATATTATATGGATAAAGTAGAAATAGATTAATAAACATACTCAAAAACTTGTTTCCGAAACACCATGAAATATTTTTCATTCAAAATATTTTTACTACTTTGAAAGAAAATTGTCTTCTCAAAGTTATAATTTTAAAAACAGAAAAACCAGTGACTTAAATAAACGTTTTTAGTGATATATATTTACTTAACTGTAATATTACAAAAGTTTATATTTCGCAAGGCATGAATTGATATATGTCTGGGCACTTGTTTTCATTTTATTATGAAAGTAAAACTTACAAGTTGAACTTTTTTTTTTTTTTCTTTTTTTAAACAAGGGCGCCATCATAAGAGCCTTTGTGATTATTAATTATCAATATTTAATGTACAGTGTGCACTCAGCTTGAGGTAGTTAACTTTTTAAATAATATCCACATTTACTCAATGTTTTTTTCTTTTTCCATTAGTTTTTTTTTTTTTAAATATTAAATGCAAGTTTTTTTCTTTGTCATGTACAATGAAGCATTTTTGTGTAGAGACTTGTAAAAGAATTTTATACATTCCACACCTAGTGTTACATTTTAATATTTACTTTGGCAAAACAAAGATCTCATGTTGGATTATTTATGTAATAGACAGAGTAATTGTTCAATTATCATTTTTGCAATTTATCTTTAAGAACAGATACATTTGTTTTCACTATTTTAGCTTCTGTTTGTATAAATATACACCACACCTGCTGAGGGGCACCGTTTTTTTTTTTTTTTTTTTTTTCTTCGTGCACTTTTTTTTTTTTTTTTTTTTTTTTTTTTTAAATCTCCCAGAATTTGTTGTTACATTATGAAAATCATTTTATTTTTCTCATTATCTAAGTTTCCAAAATCAAGACAGATATTGTCGAGTTTATTAAAAATGTTCAAAGAAACTATTTCACTGGTCTTTTAAAATATTTTTTTCCTCACTCATATCAAGAAAGGTTTTTTTTTTTTTTTTTTTTTTTTTTATTCTTTTTCTTTTTGTGATGCACCTGCCTAATTGTTTTTTTTTTGTTTTTTTTTTTTAATATGCACCCAATGAATATTTCCACTTATTTAGAAATGTGGTCAAACTTTGAAATAAAATAAAATTGAGCAATTTCATATTTTTTCTTGTTATATTTTAAAGATTTTTTCTCTTTTGTCACACTTTGAAAAAAAAAATGTACCCACAAAAGACAGTGTCTGAAAAGGACAAATTTTCTCTTGATCCTGATTGATAGCTATGCTGTCTTTTGTGGTCCTACCTAAGATTGAACTCACCATCCTTGGCTAATAAATTTCTGAAGATATTAGACTCCTGCTCCTCAGCTTAATGGATGTCTTCTAAGCAGTGGCAATAGCAAGCTTTGTCTCCCTTCCTGCTAAAATGGATTTAACATTTGTCTTAAGTTTATTGAAATTTCTCTTCAGTGTGAATATTTTTTTTCTGTTCATCATTAAATTGTTGTCACTCAGTTTATTCAGCAACATCCTGTTTTATCAATGATATTACTGTATAGCGCAGCAGCAATTTTTAGAATTTTAATAAAACCCAAGCATATGGACAAGACTTTATACATTTTTTTTTTTTTTTTTTTTTTTTTTTTTTCACAAGAATTGGTAACAATATTCAACAAGACTATTAGATTATTTACAAGAATAATGTTATACAAAACAATAATTATTGATCATATTATAAAGAAAATAAACTGAAAACTTTTTTTAATTCATAAACTTATTATTTATAAAAATATCAATTAAACAAAAAATAATTCAAATAAACACATGACCAGTAACTATATACATTTTGAAAAATGCAGTTTCTGAATGTTAAACATTTTTTTTCTCAGATTATTTTATATACCAGGTTTTTCTTGTTTTTTTTTTGTTTTTTGTTTTTTTTAAATCATTTCACCCCCAAGCAAGGCAATAAAGCCACTAAGATTCAAGGGGTTACTGAGTGTTAGAGAATATAAGAAAAAACTATGAAGGAGATAGGACAATAAAAGAACAAGAATTAAGAAAACAGAAGATAACAATTGACATTGCATTTAAATTTTTGAAGATCAAATTTGACTGGGATGCAAGAATCCAGAAGAGAGTTCCACAAGCAAGAAGTACGATAGAAGAAACTGTAAGCATAGAACTTAATTTCATGTTTTAATTTCCAAGTAATGGGGGGGGGCGTTTAGCGATTATTATGCATTTATCATAAGTTGGGCAATTATTTTATTTAAATTTTTTTGTCTTATAGTTTGGATATTTTAATAACTGAATAAAAAGAAACGGTTTTCATAGTCATTTCTTTTATAGTATGGTAAATAATACATATTGCATTGTAATTACTTCACATATTTTTATAATCTTGTAAATATAAAATTGGTCTTGTAAATAAGGATGTACAGGTGGTGTAATGGATGGTGGCTTGAAATGGGAAACCAGAGAGCTGAGTTCAAATTCCAGTCAGGTTCGTTACATTCACTTACATGCTTATACTCTTTGGGAAGGCATGAATCCATATCCCTCTCCAAAATATGTTTTGGCTTTAAATAGTCCCCAAAGTGTTGATAAGCCATAAAAAAGTAAACAAACAATTCTTGTAAATAAAAATATCAAATAAATAGTATTTTTGGATGTCAATTTTTCAGAAAAAAGAAAATGAATAAATCCAGTTTTCATGTTTGAGGTTAATAAAAATAGTTTTTTAAATCAATAAAAATTACTGGAGTGTACAATAATATCAGTTCCAAGAGAAAAAATTTTTTTTTTTTTTTTAAATAGTTTTTTGGGGTTTTTAAAATTTATTATTTTCTTTCTTTACGGGTATGTTTATTAAACTTTACCAATCCCTTTCTCTTTTTTCTTTCTTTTTCTTTTTTCTTTCTCTTTTTTTCTCTCTTTTCCTTCTTTTTTCTCTTTTTCTCTCTCTTTCTCTTTTTTCTTTTTCTCTCTTTCTCTCTTTTTTCTTTCTTTTTCTCTCTTTCTCTCTCTCTCTCTCTCTTTCTTTTCTTTCTTTTTCTCTCTCTCTCTCTCTTTTCTTTCTTTCTCTCTCTCTCTCTCTTTCTCTCTTTCTTTTCTCTCTCTCTCTCTCTCTCTTTCTTTTCTTTCTTTCTCTCTCTCTCTCTCTCTCTTTCTTTTCTTTCTTTCTTTTTCTCTCTCTCTCTCTCTCTCTTTTCTTTTCTTTCTTTTCTTTCTTTCTCAATATACTACATTTGAAAGCTTAACACAAATCATTTTGGAATTTTGTAACATATTGGGTTACTCATGAAAAGCTTTGTGGCACAGGGCTTTGTCACCTGGCTTTAAAGTATCAGGTTTAAACAAAAGGTTCTGTACCAATTTTTTTACTAAGACAAAACTAAATAGTGATTAATAGAGATGTATTTATTAGTTTTAATAAATAATTACTAAACAGTAATTAATAATAATTAATAAATAATTGTTAATAGAGATGTACTTATTCATCAACATAGTTTTCCATGGCCTCGCAGTCAACAAGCTTTTAGATTCAGTATCTGCCTATATTTCTGAGATGGGTTATTATTATTGTTCGGACTATCATCCTCATCTTTGTTGCCATATTTATCAAAACCTCAAGGACACATGGCACAGTGGATAAAGGCGTTAGTTAGATCCAGTGACAGGACCCAAAGAGTGTGAGTTCAATACCTGGTTAAGGTGGTGGAGAACTTGGAGAGGGGAATTAACAGGAGTTAACTGATAACTGACATCCATTAGACATAGCATGTAGAACTAGAACAGGCTACCCCAGCAAGCAAAATAAAGGGTTCAGTTCGACATTCCAATCACCTGAAGAAGGCTGGAGCATACAATGGCTGAAATGTTGTGATAAATATGGCAACAAAGATAAGGATGATAGTCCGAACAATGTAAATAGTGTAAGCTTTTTGATGTGACGTGTATAAAACTTTTGGTTTTTAACATGAAATAAGGCACCAACACATTTTCAACCTCTTCCCTTTGATTTAGTGTATCAAAATGGCTTTGTAGGATTCAAGACACGTGTCCAATACTTCCCTGATTATCTGGATCATAATTTTCTGGAATTTGATCGTCCAGATGTGAAATGAAGAGAAAGACTGAAACCATCCAAACATTTTTTGATTTTCCAGACTAAATCCACTCAAACATTTTGTCTCAGATGTGTTTTGAAAATTTAGCAAACCTTCCTCAGCATTTGATAAAAACACTGATAAAATGAGTTTAATTAATTCTTGATAATTTCTTTGTTATCAGAAAAGAATGTACATTTGAATTGGCACAGTGACTAATCCATCGCTGACCTTAGAACTGCACCAGAAAATGTTGATAAGGAAGATGATGATTATGATATTGGCCATGTCAAAGTTTAACATCCCAATTTGAAACACGAAAGCAATGATTATATTTGACAAATATTTAAGTTGGTTGCCCTTTCAACCAGGAGTGACCCTTACCAATACATCTACTTTAATCCAGCTTCAGGAGTCAGTGGCAGAAAAACATGATGCCAGGTGGAAACAGATAAAAACTGATGCAAAAATAAATATTTCAGTACAGTCAGCCTTGGGTAAAAACACTTATGTGACCAGAGTATTGTTGAACTTATAACTGAACCAGAAAATGTTGAAGAAGAAGAGAATATTGGTCATGTTGAGATTTAACAACCCCAGTGTCCAATTACAAGCAACATAGCAATGATTATATTTTTCTTATGCTTGTTTACCAAAGGATTATATCAAAAAAGAAAAAACAATACTTATTTATCTAAACATGAAATAAAGAGAAAAATTGATATCATCCAAACATTTTTCAATTATCCAAACTAAATCCATTCTAATATTTCCTCTCAGACAAGCATCTTAAGAATTTAGAAAATTATTTTCAATGTTTATTGATAATTTCTTTGTTTCCATGCAAAGAAAGTACATTTGAATTGACATATTGACTAATGCATTGCTGACCTTAGAACTGCACCAGAAAATGTTGATGATGATATTGACCGTGTCAAAGTTTAACATCCCAATTTCAAACATGAAAGCAATGATTATGTATGACAAATATTTAAATTGGTTGCCCCTTTCAACCAAAACTGACCCTTACCAATACATCTACTTTCAGGAGTTAGCAGAAAAAAAAACATGATGCCAGCCAGAAACAGACAAAAGCTGAAGCAAAAATAAGTGGTTCAATATAAACAGCCCTGGGTAAAAATAACAAAATGACCAGAGAATTGTTGAACATATAACGGAACCAGAAAATGTTAAAGAAGAGGAGGATAATGATATTGGCCATGTTGAATTTCAACAGCTGCAATTCCCAATTTCAATAACCAAAGCAGTACATGGGTGCTGTAGTCCATATTAAACTGCCTTGAAGAATATACCTGAGTATAGTTTAATCTAGAACCCATTTTAAGATTTCATCCCAGACATGCAATTGGAGAATTTAAAACAAAAAACACATACTCAAGATTTGCAAAAAAAAAACGTTGATAAAATCAGCTCAATTAAGTCTTGTTTATTTCCTTGTTTTCATACAAAGAACATATTTAATCATTTCACCCCAAGCAAAGCGATGGAATCGGCTAAGATGCAAGGGGTTACTGAGAGTGAAAGAAACAGAGAGAAATTAAATAAAGGGATATATTTGGAACATAAAAATTGTGTTGATGATGATGATATTGGCCATGTTGAAGTTCAACATCCAAAATGCCCAATTTCAAACATGAAAGCAATGATTACGTATGACAAATATTTAAGTTGGTTGCCCTTTCAACCACGAGTGACCCTTACCAATACATCTACTTTAATCCAGCTTCGGGAGTTAGCAGAAGAAAAACATAATGCCAGATGGAAACAGACAAAAAAACTGAAGCAAAAATAAATATTTCAATACAGACAGCCCGGAGTAAAAACACTTATGTGACCAGAGTATTGTTGAACTTAGAACTGAACCAGAACATTTTGAGGAGGTGGATGATAATGATATTGGCCATGTTGAATTTCAACAGCTGCAATTCCCAATTTCAAGCACCAAAGCAGTACACGGGTGCAGTAGCCTCTGAGAAAATACCCGAGTACAGTTTAACAGAGTGCTCTGAGTATGATCATGACTAGCCTATTTCATTTCTCAGGTTATCAAATAACTTAGTCTAAACTATGGGTGCAAACTTTTATTTTTGCTAGAATATTACGTGATTTCATTCTATAAACAGGTAATAATGGCTGATATGCTCTAATATAGCAATCCAGCATTTCCTTGATAATCCGTACTTTGATTATCCAGACATGAAATGAAGAGAAAAATTAAAATCATTACAATATTTATTGATTATTTGAACTAAACTCACTTCAGGGGTTATTGGCCCTCGTTCAATGGTGTTCCTTCGGAGGATTGGCGTGAATGCAACTCAATTAAGGGATGAGCCTCCTGAAACAGAGTGGCTCTTGCAGCATGTCTCACTGGTGATGGTTCAAGGTAATGCTTTCTCCATCATTGCAGCTGGCAGAGGATAGCAAAAAAATTGTTTATAGTTTCTGGAATTGTCATCAATGGTCAACTGAACTTGCTTTGTTTCAATAAATTTACCTGATAAAGAAAAAAAAATATTTCATCTCAGATGTGTTTTGAAAATTTAGAAAACCACAGTCAACGTTTGATAAAAACACTGATAAAATGAGTTCAATTAGTTCCTTGTTTTCATACAAAGAAGATATATTTGGATTATCATAACTTGGCCAATGCCAGAACTTCTGGTTTATATAACACTTAGATGGGGATGACACATGTGAACCATGCTTCAAAGGAAATGGAATGTTATTTTGTTTTCCCAGGGCAGAGCAATCTCATGTAAGGCATGTTGGTAGGAATGAACTGTGATTGTGCTGCACATTTTACACTTGATTATTAAATTATGCAATATAACATGGATGATGTTATACTGCTTTAATCAAGATCTCTTTCTGATTCACAAATACATTTCACTAGACATGTCGGCCAGATATGAGAACTAAGAAAGCAAAACCTAAAATAAAATGTTCTCTTCTAAGTGCAGGGGCTCCGAGTATCACATCCAGTCCACAGAACAAAACCCTGCAAAAATCTAAAATACACGAGCCAATCATGAACATAGCTGTGAAAAAAAAAACAGGAGCAGCCTGGGTGCCAGCAGCTGTTAACAGATATAAAAAAAAACAGCACACGTAGCTGACAACAGGCAGTTCGGCTCAACACCTTGACATCATCACAAAACCACTGACACATCCACACACCTCACCAGCATCAATTTCAACCTGGAAGATAGACAGAACAAACCAATCAACGATACTCCACTCGTGCTACCATGCAGCTTCACTAATCTACTCCAGGACTCTCACATTGTCACCACCATGACCTCAGTCAACTGACCCAACAAATCCATTAACTCCCATCCTTATCAACAACACCCTTACACCTAATCAATTCCTTTACCAACAGCAACTAAAGAATGACATATCAAAAAAATTTTCACTCTTTCATATAACTATGTATAATTTAGAAAAGTGATCAATACACACTGTTGAAATTTTAATCCTTGTTTGTTCCTTCCTTTGCTGCCATGTACTGGTTATAATAATGGTAACATTCCCTCAGTAGCAAAACAACTCATTCTGTGATTTTACTTTTCAGTACAAGTCTCATTTTGTTATACTTTGTGATGCTTTCAAATCAAAATGCCTTGCATTCAAATGATAGAACAAAATGAAAATGTGTACTGTTATCATTATTTAAACTAGTTACAAGTGGACTATCATCCTGATCTTTGTCAGTATCAATTTAGGTATTCAATAATCTGTAATTTTATTATTATTTCTATATATTTATATATAGTATCTGGATAATCGAGGAAGTACAAAACTTAAGTATTGCATGAACAATTAGAGACATAGAGAAAATTACTATGAAAAAGAAAAAATACATTACAGTTTTCAATTAATTTTTGTTAATTTTCTTGTTTTCATACAAAGAATGTACATTTGAATTGGCACAGTGACTAATATATTGCTGACCTTAGAACTGCACCAGAAAATGTTGATGAGGAGGAGGATTATGATGATGATGATATTGCTGTGTCAAAGTTGAACATCTCAAATGCTCAATTTCAAACACCAAAGCAATGATTATGTTCAACAAATATCTAAGTTCCCACACAAACTTTTCTGTAGAAGATGAGT